GAGGTTTTTGCTGCGTCGGCAAGCGACGACTTGTGTCTCGTGGGTTTTCCCAGCGGCTATAACGGTAACAACATGCGTCGACGACTACCAACGTGGAGCTGGGTGTGGCTCCATCCTCGGCGCAAATATTGTTTGTCGAACGTGCGTTGACGGCACACAAACCATTGACTTGACGTCCTGCCGTTCTCCAGTAGCATACGTAGCATTCTCTCAAAAAGATTGCATGACAGGCGCAAACCGATCGCACTAACTGATCACGGTTTGTCGCTGAATAAATCCACCAAGTTGAAGCGCGTCTGGTGACACGCCAGACGTGTCCAAGTCGTCGTCACAACGCGCTTGAAACATTAGACTTGCTACGGCAAAAGGAATGTCGTGGTTTCCGCCGTGCAACATAAATACCGCAGCAGGGAGAACGACCGCCCTGGATGCAGGACGGAATTGCATTTACGAACGCAGAACCCAGACACAGCATACTGTACTGAGCTACTCAACTGAGATAGAGCCGCCCCCTCAGCGAGAAATCACAAGGAGAGAGCGTCGACCGCAGATACCAGGTCGAGGCACTCCCAAATTTGCACTGGTCGACAAAAAGCTGACCTACTCGCCCACCACAGACATGTCGAACACCAAGGCGGGCCTTGTTTCTTCACGTAGTTTGGTCTTGAAGAAGAAAGCTCCATACGCTGTGATATGCGAACGCTCGGGTACCACCAAGGGTGTCGCTGCGCTGGTGTTGGAGCACATAATGGGTGTTTTGCGCGCGTAGGAAGTCGACACGACCTTTTCACGAAGGGGCGTATCTTGCGAGCCGTCGTAGAGCTAGCATTCTAGATCTCGACTCCTACGAAGCAATCCGCCTCGCCTCACCCGAGGTCCTGGCAGGAATGAAGGCATTACCCTCTGCCCCTGAGCAAGTTCGTCATTGTGAAAACACGCATTACCGCGGCGAACGACACTTTAAATCTATGTGTCCACTACACCCATGTTATTCTATTCTACGGTCGCGCCCACCAAAGGCAAGAGACGACCTCGGCGTGCGTCGCTGAAGACAGGTTGTTGTAAGTCAATGCAGCGTCAAATTCTTGTCGCCGGCTTACAAATGCACCAAATTGACGAGAAATTTTGGGTTAATCCACAGGCGTGGCTAGCTCGTTGCCATCGGGAGTAGGTGCAAGCCCAGCTCTTGCCAGTGATGCGTGAGGTACATGGTTGCGTAATTGTCCACAAAGCGCTGGTGCGTTGTCCACCGATCGGCCTCGGGTACGTGGCAAAATGAGCCGTCGATTTGACACATCTCCTCGTGCCACGTCATGTACTCACCATTGGCATCGATACACGGAGCATTGTAGAGAAGTGTCCGGACCCGCGTCGTTCTTGGTCCCAACCGGTCTAATGTGTACCTAGTACCAT